GCATGGAGGTGGGAGGTAGATGGATGGGTATGTGTAAGGAACATCAAGTAAGCCATCTTGCTGGAAAGGACCATGAGAAGGATGAATGTGCAATCAGGATCAACAAAGTTCCACGAGACTGGTTCATAAAGCAATGGCTCACTTGCAGAGCAGGCCCATCACTACTTGCCCATCACTTTGGCCAACAGGGGGGGATGCACTAATAGGTCCATCTTTAGCACTGGAAGTTTTGTAGAGGTATTCAGTTAGGCATAACAGTCCAGGGAGCGCTTCTCCTTCTATTGATGTGGTCCTGGCTGTCAAAATATAGTTTGGGTGAATTACTCTTTGAGTGAATTAGTCTTTTTACCTAAGTTGGATCACAATCAGTCATAAGGTCCTGTATCTAGATCTTAGAGGGATCTTGTTGGCCATCTAATCCAGTCCTCTCACTTTACAGATAAAGGAAACTGTAGCCTTTTAGCTTCCCTGTCTTAGTTATCTCATTCATGAAACAACAAAACACAATACTAAGTATTGAAACCTACTACGTTAATGAGTTGTCGTAAAGGCTAAATGAAGAAGCTTTTGGAAAGTCAGAAAAATGGATACAATTGCAAAGGGAGGAAGATAAGAAGAAGAAAGAGAAGGCAAAAATGGCAACAAAAGAAAGGAAGATTTTAAAAAAAGGAAAATAGAAAGATAGAGTTCCCTCTAGCTATGTCTCTGAGTTAGCATTGAATGTCAAGGGAAAAGTTAGAGATTGTATAAAAATACTATCGAACACAATGCCAGCATAATTTGGACAAATTATGGACAGTCAGTCAACAAGCATTTATTAAGTGCCTACAACAGGATAGGCACTGTGCTAATTGTGTGGTTTACAAGGAAAGGCAAAAAAAAAAAAATGCCCTGCCTCTGCATTCCTAAACTACAAGTTGATAATCAAAAACAAAATAGCCTGAGTACAAATTTTAGTATACACTCTAAAATACTGGAAGGCACTTAACGTTTTAGGTATGTCATAGGATAGAATTCAGTTTATTCTCATGAAATTACTATTGTCTGAATCCTGATTTACAGGTCTTTGAAGCTATATACAAATGACTGTTACACTTTAACATAACAAAATCTTATTTCTATTTGCTTTCCCATCTATTTAATAAACACTCTAATTTTAAGTTGAAACTTAGTGTAAGACTCTTCAGTATGAGGTCATTTCTAAAGATTTCTATGAAGATTCAGAGCATCACACCCAGACTTCTTGTGGCAAATAAGGGGCACTTGCTTCTAAAGAGGATTTAGGTCGGACAACTGTCCTTCTAATAGAGTTTGAATACATTTTTCTAATAAAGTAATGTTTTGAACAGATCTGATCATTGAACACAACACAAAGTGACCCAGTTTATGTGTTTCAACAAGACATAGAACCTCTTTTGTGTGTGTGTGTGTGTGTGTGTGTGTGTGAGTCAGGGTTAAGTGACTTGCCCAGGGTCACACAGCTATTAAGTGTCAAGTATCTGAGGCCAGATTTGAACTAAAATCCTCCTGACTCCAAGGCCAGAGCTCTATCTACTGTGCCCCCTAGCTACCCCAAATTTCCTCTTTTTTTTTTTTTTTTAATGAGGCAATCGAGGTTCAGTGACTTGCCCAGAGCTGGTGAATATTTTGTGTCTAAGGCCGCATTTGAACTCAGGTCCTCCTGACTCCAGGGCCAGTGCTGTATCTACTGCACCACCTAGCTGCTCCTAATATAGAAGCTCAGAACACAGAGACTGGCAAGGACCTTACAATGAATAATTATCAGAATGGAAGACACCAGAAAAAAAAAAAAAAAACAAGACTGTCAGAGCCATGGGGGAAACAGAATGTAGAACATAACATGTCAGAACTGGCTATGGACTTTAGAAATTGTCTAATACAACCTGCACATTTTATAGGCAAGGAAAATAGGCCCAAAGAAATTAGTTAGTTCCTTGGTCCTTTTTTTCTGGTAGTAGGTAGATATGGAGAAGAGAGGGAACCACTTTTTGGCCATAATATCTCATTTATTCCAAATCTAAGAGACCGAAACAGGAATCGGATGGTGTAGGAGGACATGTAAGTCTGTACATTTGTTATTTCCCTAAAGAAGGGATATTCTGGGAGATAACTTGACTCTGAAACTTTCCTAGCTTTACCTCTTTCTCAATCCCTTGAATTTCAGATTATTATTGTGTATAATCGTCTTCGGCAATCATTAGCCTTTCATCTGGTTAACATTATAATGAGTACTATTCATTAAAGAACATTCTGGGAATCCTACATCTGGAAATCATCTGCTTGTCACTTGCAAATAGTAGAGGGTATCTGGGAATTACCAGGCCAGACCTCCCTCTGAAATGAATCATTAGAAAACTTCAAAGCATTTTTTTTTTCATAAAAAAAGAGAAACACTAGATTAGACCAACGAAGTCATGAAGCCTTTTAGGACTGAGATGTAAACACAAAACACAATTGATTTCTTCACTTTTTGAAAGGCATTTTTTTAAAAAAAAATGAGATTTGGTCTTTTTTTTGTTATTAACATTCCGAGAAATCCTTTCCTGTTCCCAGACTTAAACCCTTTTTATCTAAAATTCTGAATATTCTCATGCTGGTGGTAATGATAACTTACAACCATATTGCACTTCGTAGTTTTCAAAATGAGAGTTCATAGATTTGCAGCTATAAGGAAGAGGTCCTTCTAATTGACCTGAAGGACAATGTTCTTCCCCCTAGCCTGAAGCTGTTGCTCACATACGTTGCCGATGACCCATCATGAGGGATGTGTACTCTTTAGTTGATTTCCTAGGATCAGGGAGGAAGATAACTTCTATCTCTTCCCTGATCCTTCTTGGGATGAGTTTATGCACTAGAGTGACGGCTGATGATGCCAGAATCACATCTTGATTGTATTAAAGTATTAGATCCCAGTAAGGAAAGTGGATCTGTCACCTTGTCTTCCTTACCACTCCCCTCTTGCTAATTTAACTACCTAGCATCCACTGTATATAGGGATTTTACTTCTGTATGTCCCTGAACAAGTCATTTAATTTCATTATGCCTCAGTTTCCTCTGCTGTAAAATGTAGAGATTGGACTCTAAGGTTCTTTTTACCTCTTCGAAGTTTCCTTCTAGCTCTTCTGAGGTTCCTTTCAGCTTTTCTGTGGTCTTATAATCCTATGATTCTTTTTATTCCATGTACTTATGGTCACCACTCCAATTTAGGCTCTCAATACCTCTTGCCTTGGCTACTGTAATAACTTCTGAGTTGGGTTTCGCCTCCTTTCAGTCTTTTTTCTTTCTAATCCATTTTCCACATTGTTGCCAAATCCACAGTCTGATCATGTATTCCCTTGCTAAATAACATCTAGTGCCTCCCTATTCCCACTAGGATATAAGTTCTTAACACTTTTTTGTATCATAGACCCCTGTAGCAGTCTGGTAAAGCCTACGGATCTCTTCTCAGAATGATGTTTATAAATGCACAAAATAAAATACCTAGGATTGCCAAGGAAGCCAATTATGTTGAAATACTGTTATCAATTAGAAAAACAACCACAGAGCTCAGATTGAAAAAACCCTGCTCAAGTAGAACTTGCCTGTTTGGCATTTAGAGCCCCACCCCATCTGTCTTCACTGTGGTAGAGTGGAGAGAGCATTGGCTCTGGACTTAGCAGGAGCTGGGTTCAAATTCCCCCTCTGATACTAACTACTTCCATGATCTTGGGGAAGTAATTTAGGTTCCCTGGACTTCAATTTTCTCATCTATACAGTAAAAAGGTTGAATTAGATGAGCTCTGAGCTCCCTTCCACTTCTGTGTCTATGATCCTATTATCTTACCTTTCTAGACTTGTTGCACATTGTTAGCCTTTCATTGACTTTAAGTGGTAGCCTATTTGCAGTTCACATGTCTCATATCCCATGACCTTCCTCTTTATGTTTGCACAGGATGTCTCTCATGTTGTGTTCTATATTCTAAGGTCCCTTCCAGACCTAACATTCTCTATTCAAAGATCCTTCTAGTTCTCACATTCTATGGTTTAAGTTCTAAGTTCCTTTCTAACTCTAACATTCTATGTTCTAAAGTTCTCCCAGTTTTGACATTTTATGTTCGAAGGTCCCTTCTAACTCTGACATTCTATATGTGAAGATCCATTCTATTTCCAAAATTATTCCAATTTTGACATTTTATGTTCGATGTTCTAAGTTCCCTTTCAGACATGACATTCTGTGTTCTAAGATCCTTCCATTTCTGACGTTCTATGTTCTAACATCTTTCCAGTTTTGACAGTCTATGTTCCATATTCTAAAGTCCTTCCAGTTTTGACATTCTATGTTCTAAAGTCCTTTCATTTCAGACATTCTATATTCTAAGATCCCTTCTAGCTCAGACGGTCTGTGACTCAGTGGCATTTTACAGAGTAGGAACAAATCATAAAACACAGGTAGCTCCCTATGTTCCCAGGGCTAAAGGTGTCACTTGTATCTTGGAACAGACCCTGGTATACTCAAACCTCTCCATGGCTTTCTGTCAAATCCAACTCTTAATTGAACAAAAGCAGTTCAAACTAGAGCTTTGGATGGGATGATATGTCCTACCTAACCTGTATTATATTACCATTAGCCAAGGTGGGTAGTATGGCATAATGGGTAGAGATCTCGCTTTGGAATCAAGAAGACCTAGTTTTCAGTCCTGCCTTTGACACATACTGGTTGCATGACCCTTGGCAAGTCAATTAATCTCTGAGTGCCCCCAAATAATTCTCTAAGAATAGAAGTTATAGAACCTAGGAAGTTTCAACACTGGGAGTTCTCTAAACTGATGAGATTATAGATCTATAACAAAAAGGAAAAAAAAACCAATGTATGTACATCACTGTTGTTCATTACAGATATTTCACCCAATTAGATGCTGAATTCCATTGATTTGGGGAGGCCACTGTGGTACAGTACAAAGACCCCTGGATCTAGCGGTAGAGGACCTGGGTTTGAATTCCACCTCAGGTGCTTCACACTTATGTGACCTTGGGTAAGTCATTTAACCTCTTTGGGTCTCAGTTTCCTAATCTATAAAATGAAGGGGAGGGTGGCATAGATGTCCTCTGAGGTTTTTCCCAGCTCTAAGTCTGTAATTATGTGAACCTGTGAACAACATTTCATTGACTCTGCTGGGGAATAAGGGGGCAATAGAGGGCAGCACATTGGCCTGGGAGTCAGAAGAGCAAGGTGATGCAAAGATTGAGGCATCAGAAGAGAGGGCCTCTGTTCTCAGCCCAGTAGCCATCACTCCTGAGAACAATTAATTTATAAGAACACACAGCATTAAGGAGTTCTTTGTCTGGGGCCCAGGGGTGAGAGGCTATGAAATCCCAGAGGAATAGCTTGGCTACCTGTCACATTAAAACTAAGCTCTGGCAGAGCCTGACCAGAAAGCAGCAGCCAAACCTTTGTGAGGAGATTTTATTATCCATTGGTTGACAATTTATGAGAAAATGACACAACTAGATACCACCCACATATTTTGGGAGCAGCATCTGTGTCACTATCAGATGTGAACTGAGGAATCTCACTAGTATCTCCACTCCTTTGTCAGAAAGGATAGTAGAACATTCTTGGCCCAGAATAAGGGGGTGAGTCCAGTTGATTCCTTCCTTCCTTCCTTCCTTCCTTCCTTCCTTCCTTCCTTCCTTCCTTCCTTCCTTCCTTCCTTTCCTCCCTCCCTCCCTGCCTCCCTACTCCCTCCTTCCTTCCTTCCTTCCTTTTCCTTTCTCTGTCTCTATCTCTCTATCTTTCCTTCATTCACTTTCTTCTCTTCTTTTCTTCTTGCTTTTCTCCTTCTTCTCTTGACAAGGGGTCAAATCCAATAAGCTATAGTCTAAGAGAAATAAAATACAAATCCAGCCTTTGAGTTCTAAAAATCAGCTGCACACAGTGTGCACACAGGACCAGTGTGTCTGGATAGCAACTTGTCTGAAAAAAGATCTGGGACTCTTATTGTACTACAAATTCAATATGAATCAATGGAGTATGATGGTCAAAAAGGCTAATGTGCTTTTAGACTATATTAATATACTGTCCAGAAAAAGGGAGATTATACTTTAGCCATCTTCTGTGTTAGACTGACGATGATGATGATGATGATGATGATGATGGTGGTGGTGGTGGTGATGGTGGTGGTGGTGGTGATGATGATGATGATGATGATGATGATGTTGCTATCTGATATGCTTATAGTCTTTTAAGGTTTGCAAAGCACTTTATTTACATTATCTTGTCAACATCCTCAAGGATATTATAGAAAAGAGTGCTGCTCAGGCACCGATTAAACTAAATGACCTCTAGGGTCTCTTTCAATTCTAAGAGTCTATGATTCTATTCAGCCTGATTATGTTTCCAACAGTGATGGGTTTGTTGTCCATAAGCTCATGTTCCAATTAACTTAATACAGCCAAGATTTGGTGGGGTCACAATTGATTGGTTCTTGGCCTTCAGTTTGGTATAGTGGAAAGAACTGGTATAAAGTGGAAAGATTTGGAGTTTTCTCCAATCCTAGCTCTGTCAGTTACATCTGTGTGATTTCAGTCATCACTTATACTTTTTGAATCAATTTTCTCATCTGTAAGATGAAGAAATTGTATCACTGATCTCTAAGGCCAGTTCTGATTCTAATTCTTATGATTCCCTTCCATCTACCTATTGTTCCAATTCCTCCTCTTACTTACTTAATGATTCCCCAAATCATAGGATAAAATTTGTCCTCCATGGGGAAAGATTGAGCTCAAGATGCTAATATTCCCAGAAAGGGAACAAGGACCTGATTATCACAATAAGATGCCAAAGACTGATAATAGACCCTTTCCTAAGGCTGTTTTCTAGGGAAACCAAACAAGGTTGCTGAGTGCCTGAGCTGGGGAAGATTAGAGAGATAGAAGAGAAACAGAGTAGGAGGAGGAGAGCCCCAAAAATAGATTATAGACTTTGGGATATGCCCAATATCACTAGTTGGTCTTCACTTGGCCTTAGAGAAGAGGCTTGATCCTGTGACAGTACTATGTATGCTCCCAGATGATAACCTCATCCCAAGTTTCTTTTTGCCTTGCACACCGGGAAAGGGTTGATATAATTCCATCAAGCAATTCAAGTCATTCTTTCATTATTTTACTTATGCCATAAGACCACTGGAAGTTCTGGATGTATTCCTTACCATTTGCTTTATAAAGCTCTGTCTTCCATTTTAGTGGTCACAAACTTTAGACCATTAGAGCTAGAAGGGACCTTAGAACATAAACTGTCAGAGCTAGGATGGCCTTTAGAACGAAGAAAATGGAAAATCAAAACAGAGAGGGGCCCTAAAACAGACTATCTGTTCTGGAAATGGCCTTAGAATATAGAATATGGAAGGGACCTTAACTCAGAAGATAAACATTTCTTGAGGTGGGGTGCTTAAAACATAGAATGTTGTAACTAGAAAGGGTGAGCAACTAGGTGGCTCAGTGGAGAGCTCACCACGACTTGAACTTGTTGAGTTTAAGTCTGGCCTTAGACACTTACTAGCTGGGTGACCCTAAGCAAGACACTTAACCCTCTTTGCTGCAGTTTCTTTATCTGTAAAATGAGCTGGAGAAGAAAATGGCAAACCATTCTAGTATTCTTGCCAAGAAAACTCCTAATAGGGTCATGAAGAGTTGGACACAGCTAAAAAATAACTAAACAACAAAAACTGGAGTCTTAGATGTAGGCTTTGACAGTCATACAGTCATAGAATTTTCAAGGTAGAAGGGACCCTCAGTGACCATTCTGAAGTCAGACTTGAAAAACAGTCCCACTACAATACACCAGACACACACATACACATTATATATATATATGTGTGTGTGTGTGTGTGTGTATACATGCATACACATACATACATACATATATGTATATAAGACACATATACACACCCACACACACATATAAACATATACATGCATACATGCATACATGTACACACACACACACGTGTGTATATATATATATACGTGACCTCAGCTTAAAGATGTCCAGTGAAGGGAAACACACTACCCTGGAGGCAGCACATTGCATTTTTGCACAGTTCTAATTGCTGGCAAGTTTCTTTCAAAAGCAAGCCTAAATTTTGACTATTGCACCGATTTCTTCAGGCTCTTTGCTCTGGGGTCAAATGCAATCCCCATTCCACATCATAGTCTTTCAAATACTTAAAGCCAGCTATCTTGTCACACACACACACACACCTCTACCCCCCAGACCTGTGTTTTCCATGACAATAATAACTAGCATTTGGATAGTGTTTTAAGGTTTGCAAAGCATTTTACAAATACTATCTGATTTGACCCTCATGATATCCCAAAGAGGTAGGTGCTATTATTATCCTCCTTTTAGAAATGAGGAAACTAAAGTAAATAGAGGTTAAGTGATTTGCCCAGCATCACACAGAGTAAGCATCTGAGGTAGGGTTTGAATTCAGGTCCTCCTGACTCTAAGTCTGACACTATGCACTGCACTACCTAGCTGCCAATCCTCCTGTGACTAAGGCCCCTCACCATTCTGCATGTTCTCTAGCTTATTAACATCTTTCTTAAAATGTATTGCAAAGGACTGGAAAGAAGGGCATTACACCCCTCATTTTACAATTGAAGAAACTGAGGCCCAGACAAGGGAAATTACTTGAGATGGGTTTCACAGGTGACTAGTGGAAGAACGCAGATTGGAATCCAGATAGCCTTATTGCTAGTTCTGTGATCTTTTCACCGCCTAAGTTGTCTCTTGCTCTGTAACTTTGGTAGGACCATTTTCTTTTATTTTTTTTTAACCTAGAACTATTGAGGGTGGCAGTTGGAAGGTAAAAGGAGGAGATGAGGCCACTGACTCTATTTTGTGCTGGTTCTGAACTAGCCTGTATGTAATGTAAGCTGAAGCGCACCATCTCTATAGCATCTTGTTTGCCCTCTCGTTAAAGAGAGTTAATTCAAGAGAGCCTGGTAGTAGGAATGAGATATCTCATCAAGGAAACCTTCAGATTCCTTCCTCTCCAGTCTTATAGGCAAGCTTGATTAATGAATTCAGCAGGCCCTGAGATCACAAAGAATGCCCCATACCTCAAGCGAATTTGGATGGCATAGAAAACTTCTAAAGGCTTGGACTTTTCCTTTCTGGATGTTTCCATGGCAATGGGGCTTCAACAGAGTCACAGTTCTGTAACTGGAGGGATTAGAAGAAGGAAAAACTGAAAGTCAGAGAATGCATAGTAGGGCTTTCAAAGGATGGCAGTGTGGCACAGTAGAACACACCTGTGCTAGGTTTGGAAGTAGGAGTTCTCAGAAGGACTTCTGCCTCAAACACGAATCCTGGTCTTCCTGACTTCAAAGCCAGCCTCTATCCACTATATCACGCTTTTCTACTTCCTAATTTATGATGTAGGTTTAACATCATGGCATTGACATACTTCAGAGGTGCCATGGGGGAAATATTTTACATATTTTACAACACTATATCAATGTGAGTTTTTGTTATTTCAAAGAATCCATCACTAGCATTTTTGCTGACATGAGGATTTTGTGGCAGATTTCCTATCCTCTAAATAAGCACACTTTATCCAAATCACAGAGATACAGAATGTTTAAATGTATCTCCGAGGTAATCTAGTTCAATCCGGCCATTTTACAAGTAAGAGCTACTGGGAAGTGAAGTGATTTGTCTCATACAGGTCATACAGGTCATACAGGAAACAAAAGATCTTGAAAGTTTATACTCATATTTCGTGCAGCTCAGAATTAGTTTTCCTAATGGCGAGAAACAGGACGATTCCAGATACTGCAATGATCAAGCCCAATATTTTTGCTAAATTCACATGCCTGTGTAGAAACTCCCAAGTGAGCCATTGCTTGGGGATGACAGAGCTCAGGCTACTGTATCCCAACAGGTCCCACAGCCCTAGTGTAATGGAAAGACTAATGAATTTGGGATTTAGACTCTCCTACTTTCTGCCTGTGGAACCTTGGGGAAGTCACCTCAACTTTCTAGGCTTCAGTTGCCTTCTCTGTAAAATCAGACATGGAGGTAGATAACCTCTAAGGTCCAGGTGTAGATCTATGACCCAAGAAAACTTAGTTTATGATTTAACTTCTACGGCTCCCACCTCCCTATTCTTAGTGTTTCTTCTAACTCTCCAGAGTGAGGCCATTAAAAACCATGCTTTCAATTCAAGATCTGAACTCTTAGTGAAACAGAAAGGAAAGTGGACTTAGAGCCAGCGGAGTTGAATCCAGCTTGGACACTAAGTAGCCACGTGACAGAGGAGGAGAAGGAGTATCCTCCTCTCTGAGCCTCAGGGTGGAAGTCACAGGGAGGAAGATTTCTCCAAAGTATATGGAGAAACGTTTCTGTAGGGCTGTTGGAAAATGGAAGAAAGGGGAGAAGTGAAGCACCTGGGATGAGAGGGTAGCCTCAGGGGCTTGTGGGGTAGAAGGTAGGAGCTGGGAGGGTAGCTGGCCATTATCATTTATGAGATAAAGACAGACACCATCTTAGCCAACACACCTTAGAGAAGCAAGATCTCTTGAGAGGTTAATTTTGACGAAGTTCCTCTTAGGATTTGCCAAATGAGACCTCCTGAGGATTTCTGCAAACCTACAGTTTCACTGAATCTCAGGGTCAGACTGGAAGTGTCCTTGGAGTCCAATTACTCTAACCACTAACTCAACATAGGATGGACCATGTGATTGTAAATTCAAAAGGTGGAAGGGCTCTCGGAGGTCCTCTTGTCCTCATTTTGCAAATGAGGAAACTAAGGCCCAGAGAAGTTAAGTGACTTAGCCAAGATCACACAGGGAGTGGGTGGAAGGTCTATGATCCAATGTCCTTTACCTCCATATTCAGTATTCTGCCCACTGCACCACACTGCCTCAAAAATTCACTGAGCAATCTACGTTGTCAGAGGAGTGGTTCTCTAGCCTTCAATTAAAGTCCACCACTGAGGAAGAACTCACTGTCATATGTTCATGACTTGAGAGCTGAGAGAGAGGCCAGCTAGTCTAACTTCATTTATTTTCAATTCACGAAACTGAGGCCAAGGAGGTTAGGTGACTTACCTAAGGCCACATAGATAGTAAATGGAAGAGCTGGGATTCCATGTCAGGTCTTCTGATTCCAAATAGAGGGTTCTTTCCACTTTACTGTGTTGCTTCTCCAATACCTGCCTCCGAAAGCAGCTTGTCTCACTTCAATTCAATTCAATAAGCATTTTTTAAATGCCTACTATGTGCTAAGAGCTAGGGATACAAAAAGAGGCAAAAGACAGTCCCTCCCCTCAAGGAGCTTACAATCTAACTTTGGGATAGCTGTCTCCTTTTTTTTAGGAAGTATTTTCCTTATGTTGAGTCTAGATTTGCTTCTCTGCAGTTCTCTGGTGGAGGTTATCTGAGTATTAAGTGGGTGGTTTAGTGATTTTCTTTGTGGACACCATAGATGCTATACCTGGTGAGTTTCACTACTACTAGCCAGACTAGCTGTTAGTTGGTTCTTCAGTCTGCTGGTGGACCCATACTGGAACCATTTCAAGGTTGGTAGGACCTTCGATACTTTGTACTGATTGGGAATCACCAGAATACTGTGAAGAAGCATTAGGAGAAGGTCTTTGTGTGATACATTTCTATGTGGCTATGTTGGCATGTGCATTTATTCATTCAACAAGCACATAGCAAATGCCAAGAGTATGCTTGATCAGACCTATGGGGAGTAATAATAATAATAATAATAATAACTCTCATTTCTATAGCCACTTAAGTTTTGATTTGTCCTTTGTCTATGACTCCCGGGAAGTAGGTGGAGCAAACTTAATTGTTCCCATTTTTAAGAGAAGCAAACTGAGGCTCTCAGATGTGAACCTACTTAGAGTCATGCAGCTAGTTCGTGTCTGAAGCATGGTTTGAAATTAGGTCTGTTGATTTCCTCTCCAGCACTTTTTCTCTTATGCCATTACAACACTCAAAAGTAGAAGACTCAGTCCCTGTTCTTAAGGAGATTAAGACAAACATATACATTCATAGAGAGTGGCAGCCTGATAATATGGAAAATGCTCCAGACTTTGAGTCAGAACTCTGGTGTTGGAGTCTCAGCTCTACCATTTATTTACCATTTGTGTGGCAGTGGGCAATGTTGAGGTAACATGCTGGGTCTCAGGTTCTTCAACTATGAAATGGGACAAATACCTGTAAGTAGTGCTGTTGTGAAACTCAAAAATGATGTCTACAACATGGTACAATGTGAGGAAACTTGATATCTGTCATTTGTGAGTGGGGCTTCACAGAAATGGCATACAAAGGGAAAAACGAGGTAATGTATTGGGTCCCTCTGGATGGCCTCAGGCTGGCAGAAAATTTCAAAGTGCCAGAATGAAGGTCTTCTGGAGACAAAGGGATAAAGGTCTCTGGACAGCTACAAGAAGGAAAAGCCACCTCTCTCTAGAAAGTGTGGGTCCTCCTGTGTGATCCCATACTGGAGTCCACACTGTGGCCCTATCCTGCTTGTGACTCTGGTGGAAAAATGCTGGATTTGAAGCTAGAAGACCAGAATTCAAGTCTCAACTCTACTAGAATGTAAGTTCCTGGAGGCCAGGTGCTGTTTTTATTTTGGTTTTGTGTCTCTGGCACTTAGCACGGTGCTTGGCACATAGTAAGTACCTAATTGGTAACCTCAGTTGATTTTGTCCCTCTGTTTGGAGGGCTGGAGGGTGGACCAAAAAATTCCTCCCATTGCTTCCTTTTGCAGATGGCTCAAAATGCCAGCCATTTCTTCATTTGTCACCAACTGCTCTGCTTGGTTTGGTTCTTCTATCATCACACTCTGGTGTCTTCCCTTCCTTTTTAGCTTCTTTTTGTGTATTGCCTTTCCCTATAAGACTGTAAACTCCTTGAGGGCAGGAACCATCTTTCTTTTTTCTTATTTGTATCCCTAGTGCTTAGCACAATGCCCAGCAGATAGTATGTGTTTAATAAATGTTTATCATATCATAAGTACTTCAAAAATGTTGGTTGGTTGGTTGATTGATTTATTATGCGATCATCCCAGAAGGGGTAGGATTAAAGTTGGCCCTTAGCAGATTCATATGTTCCTTTTTGAAAGGCTAACCAATTAGTAATACAAATAACTTCTCAGAAATAGCTCTCTTTGTCTCTCTATAATTTCAGGGATCGGGGCAATGGCTGGGAGCAGAAATACCACGACTGTGACTGTATTCATCTTCCTGGGCTTTTCAGATTATCCCCAAATACAAATTGTCCTCTTTGTGGTATTCCTGGGGATCTACCTCATGACTCTGGCCTGGAATCTGGGCCTCATCACACTGATTCAGATGGACTCACACCTCCACACACCTATGTATTTCTTCCTCAGCAACCTATCCCTTGTAGACATCTGCTACAGCTCTTCTACCACTCCCAAGATGTTGGCAGACACCGTCGCAGATCAGAAAACCATTTCCTTCTTGGGTTGTGCTGTTCAATATTTTGTCTTTTGTGGCATGGGGTTGACGGAATGCTTCCTCCTGGCTGCTATGGCATATGACCGCTATGCTGCTGTGTGCAACCCACTCCTCTACACAGCCATCATGTCTCACACACTCTGTATCAAGATGGTGGGAGGAGCATTTATGGGTGGGTTTTTTAGCTCTCTGATTGAAACCTACTCTGTCTATAGTCATCAGTTCTGTGGGCCTAACATCATCAATCATTTCTTCTGTGACCTTCCTCCTGTCCTGGCTTTATCTTGCTCTGACACCTTTACTAGCCAGATAGTGACGTTTCTTGTGGGGGTCATTGTTGGGGTAATGTCTGTCCTTGTGGTCCTCAGCTCTTATATTTATATTGTTGCTGCTGTCTTGAAGATCAGCTCCACCAAAGGAAGGTCTAAGGCCTTTAGCACCTGTGCATCTCACCTGACTGCTGTGACACTCTTCTATGGCTCTGGCCTCTTCATGTACATGCGTCCCCGCTCCAGCCATGCCCTGAGCAGGGACAAGATGGTATCAGTCTTCTATGCAGTGGTGATCCCTATGGTAAACCCCATAATCTATAGCCTTAGAAACAAGGAGATTAAAAGTGCCATGATGAAAGTGATTGAGAGGGAATGTGGAATTTCTCATCACCCCACCTCCTTTTGATCCAGAGTCAGCGCGAGCATTTGAGCTGTGAACTGAAAAGGCCATGCGGAAGGTGGGTAAAACCATCCACAAATAACTCAATTTAAGAAACAATTACTGAATGCCTGTTGTCCAAGGAGCTCTACCAAGGTCAGAGGAAGTACAAAGTTTAAGACACAGTCCCTAGAACTTAAAGATGGTATCAATGACACTCTTTTCTCCCATGAACTGCCCCCATCCCTCTTGCCTCATTGGTCTTGAAGACTACTGTGTGCCTAGAAATGCATTTGACTCCCTTAGTAATGAAAGCACAGGGTATACTGGACTCTGTTAATGGTTCTGGAAAGTGCTCCACGAGGTCAGTGTTGCAGAACGTTTACATGTCCTTGATAAATTAGAAAGTATGATTAACAAGAGAAAGAAAAGGGGACATTGAGAGGATTGAGAAATTGCCAAGATTAATGAGATGCAGTGAATCTGATTACAATGTCTGTAATTTCGGGGTCCACTGAAAAAGTCATAAGGATATAAAGCAGAGGCAATGCAGTACACGGGATAAAGGGCTGGACTGGGAATCAGGAAGACCTGAGTTCAGATCCTACCTCAGATATATGTTAACTTCGTAATCCTGGGTAAGTCACTGAACTTCTCTGGGTCTCAGTAAAATGATGATGAGTCAAGGCCTATGGATGGGATTGGACTTGATGGTCTTTAATATTACTTCCACCTCTAAGTCTATGATCCTATGAAAATTAAAGGGAACACACACACACACACACACACACTCAGAACCCTTCCAAGGCTGAAATCCAACAATTCTGCGACCCCAGGAATAACAAAAATGGTCCATTTTTAAAAGCACTAGTGTTTTCGTACTGATGCCTGCATGACTACACATCACTCAGTGTGTGTGAGTGTGTGTGTGTGTGTATGTGTAAAGCAAAGGGTAAAAAATGACCATTGAGACATGACAGGGACCCATAAACCCAAAGCTGGACATGCAACATCTCCTGCCTTAGGTTTATGCGTCACTGTCCTGCGTCTATGCTCATTCTTCGCCACTGTTTCTTGGTTAAACAAGCGCGCCCTATTCAATGTCTTTCTAGAAGAAAGTGCTTCATGTATGCTTGTCTTTCCATAAACCTTCTACAGAACATCCATCCAACATGCTGAAAACTTTCTTCTTTTTAACAAATATATTTTGCCTTTTGAAATTTCATTCTACCAGTGCAACATTCATGTTGTCTGGTTCCCTCCATCTCTGTGACTAGCCCACTTCCTTTTTTTTTGGCCACGAATTAATTAATTAATTAGTCAAACACTCATTTATTAAGAACTTACTGTGTCAGGCACTATGTGTGTGGCTCTAGAACACAGAGATAAAGTGAAAATTAGTCCCTACCTTTAAGGATCTTATATATTATACTTGGGAGGATATAGCATTTACACAGATACATAAGTGAAAATAATTTGAAAAGGGAATGAGCACTGACACCTACCATTTCTGTACAGGTCATTATTGATAAGATGTTATAAGCCATTTATACTCACTAAGTTTCTTTTCACTGCCTTCTGAGGCACCTATAACTTTGAATGCCTCTGAGGTCATTGTATTATGTGATTTCAGCCTTGGAAGGTATCTCCAAGGACACCTAATCTGACCTATACCTGAACAAAAATCTTCACACCACTGCCAACAAAGGGTCACTCAGTCCCTACTTGAAAACCTTTAGCAAAGAGGAATTCACTACCTCCTGAGGCAGCTCATGTTGATTTTGGACAGCTCCAACTGTAAGGAAGTCTTTCCCAACACCAAGCCAAAATCTACTCTTTTCACTACAGCCTTCTGTCATCCCTACCTGTTCGCTTTGGGGCCAAGTAGGTAGAGCACATCTAATTCCCTTTCCAAATAATAATCCTTCAAATACTTTTTTTTTGTTTTGTTTTGTGAGGCAATTGGGGTTAAATGACTTGCCCAGAGTCACACAGCTAGTGAGTGTTTTGTGTCTTAGGCAGGATTTGAACTCAGGTCCTCCTGACTCTAGGGCCGGTGCTCTAGCCACTGCACCACCTAGCTGCCTCCTTTCAAATTCTCAATGGCCCTTATAAATCTCCTCCCCCCAAATCACCCCCCCCATTCCCTTGTTCAGGCTAAATGACTTAATCCTTCAAATAATTCTTATATTGCATGGTCTCTAGTCTCCCGCCATTTTCACCTTCCTCTTCTGCGTGCACACCAACTAGTCAAACTCCTTCTTAACTGTGATGCCCATTTGAACACAATACTCCATATATGGCCTCACCAGGACAGAGTACAAGAGGACTAGTACTTCCTCACTCTAGACATCATACCTTTCCTAAGACATCTCAAGAACACACTCCTCACATTTTTTGGCTGCCTTATAACTCTGTTAACTTACATGGAGTTTACCTCCCATTAACCTTCCCTCTTCTTTTTTTCATTTTTTGAAAAGCAAATAATGAATATTCAAGATGAGGGGTAATGTCTCAGTGAGGGCCTAGGATACCACACCAGGAGCAGAAAGGATTGTGACTTAATGATGCTCTGCCTGGCTTCTCAGACTTGAGGCCAGGAAGGCAAGACATCAGGCAAAGGGTAACTGTTGACCTGGCTGGGGCTTCAGAGAGAAGACTGAATCCTAAAAAGACCAGGGCCTTGGGCAGTAGAGATAGTTCAGAGCCAAGTACATGCTCCATGGATGGAATATTTCTGAGTACACCTCATCCCTCACCATCTTGGAATATACTACCTGAGCTGGTCCTATGTGAAAGTTCTGTCTAATTTCGAGGGCCTAAGACTTCCTGCTGAACTCCCTTCCACCACTATTCAGATTCTCCAAGGTATGGAGAGGAAACACTTCACCAAGCTGCCTTCCATCATCTTCTATCAACTTCTAAAACCTATATAACCCAAACCTTAACTCTACCTTAATCACCCAAGGGAATGATGATATCTCAGATTTTGCCACCACCCGTAAATGTGCTACCCTGATAATTCTGAACTCGGAAATTCCCCTATGTTTCAAATCTTCTGTGTTTCCATCTCTCTCTTCCCCACTCCTAACCTATTTTGTTCACAAGAAAACCTCCAGTTCCTCCATCTATCAATCAATTAACAAACAAACAAAGAATCAATTAACAAACCTACTATGTGCCAGGTACTGTGCTATGTGTTAGGGATACATCAACAAAAATGGATGTGCTTACAATCAAGGAGCTTACATCTTATCATGAATCCGTCTATGTTCTCCATTTGTCTAGGTTATCCCAGCCCATCACCACTTATTTGGATTCCTTTTCTCCCTTCAGGTCTTAAGCTATCAACTGACTAGCTCAGCTGTATACTGTACTCCACCCTGGGTTCCCTTGTCCCCTGGTCCTACTGTAATTCAAGCCCCGCTAATCAGTGGTTCTAATTAAGGCCCACCACCTAACTTTTCCATTGATACTACCAAGTTGTGGAATATCATTAGAGGAAATCATCCTCCGGGGCCTACTGGACCCATTCCACATGAGTTCTGTAATCACATTTGTACCTCCACAGCTACCTGGCCAATGTAGATTCTTCCTTGATTGTCTTTCTACCCCATCAGAAACAATTCTGAAACTCATCTCTTTAAGCCCCCACCATCTATGTCTCTGTTCTAGTAGATGTCCTGCTAGAAAACTAGAGGTGATCAACTGTGATTTCCTTTTTCCTTTTTCTCCATACCTCAATTACCTGCTACATCTTCACTTGTCTTCCATTCCTTCACTCTCTCTTAATAAGAGGGGGCCCTTGGCCTTGCCGAGACTGACTCCTATACTTTTTTTTCTCTTGGCTAGGCAATGGGGTTAAGTGACTTGCCCAGGGTCACACAGCTAGTAAGTGTTATAGGTCTGAGGCCAGATTTGAACTCAGGTCCTCCTGACTCCAGGACTGGTGCTCTAGTTGCCTGGACACCTCTACTTTTATACTTGATTCCATCCCCTTTTGAATCCACAAGGAGTTTGCCTCATCAACTTATGATTATTCTGGGTTTGTTTTTAGTCTATGTGTCTATGTGTATCTCTCTCTGTCTGTCTGTCTATCTAAATGTGTGTCTATCATTTGATGTCTCTGTGTCTTTCTTTCCAATATTCTTCAATATACTTTTCCATTCTTTGGAAAACTTTTGTTCACTTGACACTCTCCAACTTGTAGGAAAAAAAAAATCATGGGAGGGAGAGGAGGAAGGAAGAAGTATTTATTAAGTCCTCCGGACACTGTGCTAAACACTACACATATTTCATTTGATCCTCACAATAACTTTGTGAGGTAGGTACTATTATTATTGTCATTTTTACAGTTGAGGAAATTGAGATTAAATGACTTGCCTATAGTCACATAACTGGTGTTTGAGGCCAACTTTGAACTCAGGTCTTCCCGACTCCAGGCCAATGCTCTATCCCGTGCTACCTAGCTGCATCTGCACTCACTGTTTCCACTTCCACGTTTCTGTGGATTCTGTATCATCCTAGGTAGATGAATGGTAAAAATATCTATCTCTGTCTCTATTTATATCACCTATATCTATATCTCTACCTATATCTCAGTCTCTCCTCCTCTCATCTTTCTCTTGAACCCCAGTCAGACATCATGGGTTGCTTATTAGATACCTCCTCCTGGGTGTCTCATAACAACCTCAAGCTCAATTTATGCAGAATAGAAATCATTATCTTCGCACCTAGATCTGCACCTCTTCCAAACTTCCTATTTTTGTTGAGGGTGATATCATTCCTCCAGTTACCTAGATCCACTAACTTTGTCATCCTCACATCATCCTCATGTGCTGTTTTAAAAGTTTGAGAGACATAACTTTTGGGTAATTAAATCATTTTATTATTAATGCCAGTTCGTTTATTAATAAAAGGGTGGTCATTTGGCTGTCTGTCTTAGACCAAAGACAATCACGACAGCTGGCTCGTGGTTTACATGCCCATTGGAAGAGGGGTGGGTGTTTCTGAGAGGGTGCAATCAA